TGATCCTGGGGGATGTCTATATGACAGAAAACACTTTGAGCAATAATTATTCTCACATAACAGTCTTACATGTGTTCAGACTGGGAGGAATAAAGGTATACCATATACGCTTTTCTCCTGCTACATTTATTTTCACTCAACAAGGCTTTATGAAACCACTGCTATGTGCCAAGATACCATTTATGTAACCAAACTTTCATTGAGTATTTACTACATTCTAGGCACCTGGGCAGGCCAAGGACCTGTGGAGGGTAATAAGGGAAAAGAAGGATATGAAAATAGAAAAATAGAGGCCCAGCACAGTGGCTCATGCCTGTAATCCCAGCACTTTGGGAGGCCAAGGAGAGCGAATCACTTAAGTTAGGAGTTCAAGACCAGCCTGGCAAACATGGTGAAACCCCTTCTCTACTAAAAATGCAAAAAAATTAGCTGGGCATGGTGGCGGGTGCCTGTAATCCCAGCTACTTGGGAAACTGAGGCATGAGAATCACTGGAACCCGGGAGGCAGAGGCTGCAGTGAGCCGAGATCACACCACTGCACTCCAGTCTGAGTGAAAGAGCGAGACTGTCTCAAAAGAAAAAAAGAAAAGAAAATAGAAAATAAAGTGAAACGTGGTCAGCACAAGGTTTAGAGATCTTCACAGCAGTAAAGGTAGGGCACCAAACCCAGCCACAAGGACATGATGACTGGGCCAAGTTGTGAAAATAAACAGGAGCAACCAGGAAGGGACTGAGGAGGAAAAACATCCCAGATTGACCACTGCGCTCATGTAAGAACCGGGGTCATATGTGATTCTGGGTCATGACTGGCCATAGACCACCTTACTGACTGCTTGTGGGACACAGGAGTTATCTACCCAATGAGTTCCCATCTGCCAAAGGTAAAGAGTGTTTCTGAATATTACACCATCTTCTCCTATGGTTCTAATTCCTCCTGCTCTTCACCTCCCGTAAACTAGACCTGGGGACAGCAAGCTATGGGCCAGGGGCCAAATGCAGCCTACCTCTTGTTTTTGTAAATAAAATGTTATTATCATACAGTCATGCCTAATAGTTTCCTTGCTGTCTGTGGCTGTTTTCACACTACAAAGATAGAGTTTGATAATTACAACTGAAACTATATGGATCACAAAACTCAAAATATTTAATATCTGTCTTTCCCAGAAAAAAATTGCCAATCCTTGAGCTAGACTATAGCAGCCATACTCTCAGCTCTTACCACCCTGGTTATCTGAACTCAGGAAGATATGGTCCCTTAAAGGAAACTTGTAACACCCCAGGAGTGAGTGGGAGAAGCAAGGGCAGGAACTGGAATTGGATGAGAAAGACTGTGGAAGAAGGGCCCCACCGGACAAATCTCATAGTAGAGGAAAGACATTCTCTCTGCCGAGTGTTTTGGGACTGGTAGAAGAGGAAGTTATGAAGATACTGCCGCTTGTCAGAGGATTGAAATTCTTTTTCACAGTAAGATTGTTTCACACTGCCTACAAGAAAAAAAAAATGTGCAGCAGAGAGTTCTTTTCATAAAGCATCATCATGCAAGAGGAAGGCTACATCTCAGGTTTTTCAGCTGGGAGGACACATACAATTCAAATCAGAGCTGATGGCCCTCGGTGGGACTGGAGCCACCTGAAGTAGAGAACATAATCCACATCCCACACACCTCCAGACCCCCGTCTCTGGCAGCCTGATGATTAATGCTTACACCAGAAAGACGTTTCATTGACTGCCTTAGAGTCCCGTGAGCATGATGTAGTCAATAAATATTTATTAAATGTATTTTCCTTGGGCTTGCAGCACTTGCTCATAACCAAATAAGCAAGAATTGCTCAGGGTGGTTCCAGAAAAATATATAAATGTATGTTAATGGATCCAAGCTAGAAATGGGGAGTAGGAAAGAAACTGTTCATCCATCTGTGTACAGGTTATCCAAATGGTGCTAGCTTTTGGGTAAATAAGAAAAAAACATGTTAAACAAGTCCCAGAAATGAGGATTGCAAGAGAGAGATAGAAGAAAGGAGGAAGGAGAGGAAAGGAGGGAAGGAAGGAGGGAGGGAGATTTACAAATACCTCTGCTTTGAACAAATGAACATATATACATTTTTTAAAGCCAATCTTTTTTTTTTCTCTCTGGCTTTATGTGGGTAATACTTTCATCTGTCACTAAAATGGCTCCTACACTCAAGGAACGGCAGAGAGTTAACTGAAATGGGTTCCCAAATTGCAACTTTTGCAATAAGGATAAAATATGGCTTTCTGCCACCCATTTGGAGTTACAGTGCCAATACGCTGATGCAATCCCCCATAAGCCCAGTCACATTAGATTCTGAATGGTGTATCGCCAATCTGAGCATGGGGAGTGGTGTTAGGATTTGTTTATTTAAGACTGAGCATTTATCCTGGATGAGAAACAAATTAAAATCTTGCATTTGAGGTAATATTAAAAGAGGGCAATGCAATTACCACATTCTCCCCTGAGCGTCCTCCTTAAGGTACTGTGAAGCCTGAGAATGCGCAGCTGCCAGCGGGGGTAGGAACTGTGCAGTGCTGGAGGTGAGATAAGGCATCTTCACGGCTGCATTTCCAGCTTTGTAGGGGGGAAACAATTTGCCTTTGGGAAATAACCCAACAAGCAATCCTATGGTTTTAATACAAACACTCAGAGAGGTTCTGGCCATGATCATCTGGGTCCAGCCCTTCACTGAATTGGAAAGATGGCAACGATAATGGTTGAACAGGCCTACATGTGTTGGCTCTGAGTTTCCCCCACCCACCCCACCCCATGACTGAAGAGGATACAGAGCTCCACCACTGTCAGGCATCAAGGAAGACACAGGTCTAGGGGAGAAATCAACACTTCTCAGGGTCCTTTTCAGGGGTCTACTGCAGAGATGGAAGGTCATCTATTCTATGGCAGGTCCTGGACCTGCCTTGGCAGTAGTCATGGCCCTTTGCAGGTAACCTATAGGAAACAGACAATGCTTGATTTGCAACATCGTGAGAGTTGTTTTAGCCCTTTTGATGACCCTCAGACAGCATTTGAGTGATAGGCTTTACAGCATCAACAGAACCAGGGAAACTTGCCCAGAGATGTATAGATTACTACACACCCCCAACATCATATCTTTTCCAAGTCCCTTCCTATAATTCCACTCTCTCCTGACTTTAAGACCACCTACCCACTTTCTAAAAGAGGCAGAAGGAAGAGTTTCTAGGAGTTTCCTTCCTGGGAGTCGTCATGACTTCTGATATAAAGGTTGACATGAAGTGTCCTCCTAGTAGTCAGACACTATACACTGAACACTTTCAGTGGCCCTTACAGACCAGAGAAGGAAAGCCCAGGTCCCTAGCACCAAAATGCAGAGAAAAGTTTCTAAAGTTTACAGTGATAAGAGGATGCTAAAGGAAGCCTTCATGCAAACAAAGCCTAATCCTAACATGGAGAAAGAAGAAAGCTCCAAACGCTTCCTGCCGTTGGGGCAGGATGCTCAGCAGGCTCACCCAAATCCAGCACACCTTTTGAAGCCCTTCCAGTAGACCACCTGCCATTCCAGGGCTTGAGTGTCTCCGCAGCTCCCCTAAGACTCTAAGTATTGATCCAATTACCACTTGAGGTCACTTATCCTACTGCTGTGTTTTGAGCTGCTTATTGATGCACATTTTCTCCCTGGAGAAATTACAAGCTCATAGCCCAGAAGGAAACACTGTGCTCTACCGTGGCAGGTGCCCAGTGGGAATTGATTGAGCGCATACTGAATAAAATTGCTTTACTTGTAACCCTGGCCCTAATTCTGGTCTAGAGATCCTAGGAGTCCAAAGAATCCAGCAAAAGAATTATGTGGAATGATGTGGAGCCAGCTGACAGCTGTGCTGCTCTTTGTCTGCAGATTTTTTAAGTCTCCGTTGACCATTCTGTCCCATGGATGTTGGAAACACCTGACTGTCAGAGAATCAACGTGTGATTCTGAGGTTTTGTCAGATAATATTTAAAAGCCAAAGGCCCTATAAGATATCATTCCTTCTCTTTAAAAAATGCTTATTTTAAGGTATAGAGCTATAAACTTTACAAGAAAAATATGCATAGAGAGATGTCTTTGAAAATGAAAGAGGCAGAATTGATGTGCTTATCACTGATATGAAAGGCTGATAGGAAATACCTATCCTTCAAATCTCTGCAACATCTCAGGGGCTGTGCACAAATGCAAACATGTGGACACATTCATTCAGATGACACTGTTTAATGCCAGAGCCCAGGAGTGAGGAGATGGAGGAATGGCTTCAGACATGAAGTCATCATTTGCTGTGCTCCACTCTTCCTGCAATGAAATGTCATCCACACTGGTCCTTTGTGCATTCTAGTCTGTCTGCCTCAGCAGGTAGAGACCGCCTTTCTCCTCATGAAGTGTGTATAGTCAGCCACACACTGACTCCTAGATGCTCAAAGAATCGATCACAATTTCTCCAGGAGCTATTGTTTTTTGCTGACTTTAGGCCAATGCTTTGTCACAGAGACGTGTTTACTTCCCCTCAAATTGTATGGACCGAGGTAGGACTGCTAACCTTTTATAATATCACATAAGGATTGAAAAAAACTACTATTCTGATCACCATTATCCCTTAATCCAGAAAGAATGAAAGTCAGTCTTTATATTAAATAAATTTACAACATTGTTCTTATTTTTCTGATTTCACTTACCTATACTTGGCTGTCCTGTCCCCAGCACAAGCATTTCAGTAATGAAAATGCCTCTCCTTGAATGTTGCTAGATGGGTTCTGAAATACTGAAAAATCTAGCTGGCTTTTCTTAGGCATGATGGCATTGTATGGCATATCATAAAGCTTAAGGATAGAATATGGAAAAGGAATTGGAAAATCATTGTATAAATCATCAGGAATCAAAGGGTTTCCATGAATTTTTTTATTGGCAGGAAAAATATGGAATCTCTGATGCAGATTTTGGTGACCAAATCAGAACTTTATTCTTTCTTCTCTGTTCCAGGTACATGGCCATCATCCATCCCCTCCAGCCCCGGCTGTCCGCCACGGCCACCAAAGTGGTCATCTGTGTCATCTGGGTCCTGGCTCTCCTGCTGGCCTTCCCCCAGGGCTACTACTCAACCACAGAGACCATGCCCAGCAGAGTCGTATGCATGATCGAATGGCCAGAGCATCCCAACAAGATTTATGAGAAAGTGTGAGTAGAGATGACTCCTCATGCCAAAGCAATGATGGTGCAGGGTGCCTTCCTGGCCCCTTCTTGATCTTTCTTTCTTTCCATATTCTTTTGCTGGTACAGATTTAATGTGTATCTGTAAGCATTTCTCACATATACTCTCATATCACGTTGCTATGTCCACAGTTATCAGGGGACTGTAGTATCCCAAATACTATTTTAAGCATTGAAAGATAATTTTTGAAATATAAGATCTAGATCCTGTTATAGCAGAGCCATATCCCTCGGGCCTTTTACCAGAGACATTACCCTGCCGGGATCTGCCTTTCTTTGCCTAGGAACTTTTTCCTAAGCTATGGGATGCGGAATGCCCGGAATGCCGCTCTTCTCTCCTGCACAGGAGGCGGGAAGGTGGGGAATTACCTCCCACTCCCAGCAGCTCTCAACAATGACTGAAGGGCTGCTCTGTCTGTGAGTAGCCATTCTTTTATACCTTTACTTTCTTAATAAACTTGCTTTCACTTTGCACTGCAAAAAAAAATAAGAAGAAGAACAAAGCCTGAGGGGAGCTGGCATCTGAACACCCGTCTCTCACCCCTCAGGGGAGTGTGTCTCTGTGGTGTGTGTTTTACATCATGTCGAAGATTTTCTTGTGGGATTAATCTCCAGGGGTAGCTGCCTGGATAATGTACCCTTTATTGGCCACTGTGTCTTCCCTATACTACTGCCCCCTTTCCCTACTGGTGTTTCTTCTCCCTGATAAGGTACTTGCACTTGAAAATCTTGAGATAGAGATTCCCCTTTGCAGAAGACCAAAACAATACACTTACACCTAGGATGTTACAGCTGGAGAAATAGAACATATGCAGGTGAAACGCAGGCGAAGGCCAGGCCAGGCATTGAGACCGTATGAGCTATGGGTCCCTTACAGGGCAGACAGACTTACCTTCTAGGGGCCTGCCTGATCACATTTAGGGTTTTTCAAAGTATCCCAGCAATTTTCTCCAAGACTTCTTATCCTCAAGGCAACATTGAAATGGCATATTCTTTGTTTTGCTCTGCTTGAGTGAGCCACAATGTGACATTTATATTACAGTTAGTTTTCGGGACTCAGAGCACATAGATAACGTGGATCTTTTTGAAAGCCCTCTATAATTCTCCAATCTCAGGTTTTTTATGTGAATCATAAAAGAACACTGGTGTTAGAATCAGAAGATCTGAATTTTAATTACAAGATTGCCAGTTACTGGCCATGTGACCCTGGGCAAGGGTCACAGCCTCTCCTCGTTATACAAATAAGAGATAATAGAGCTCTGTTTCCTATAAACAATTCTTGTGAAGATCAAACGACATAATATATTCTCACTTGTAAGCTATTAAATGCCATACAAAAGGTATGAACCAAATTGATCAGCTGACTCAGATAGCAGTATAATTATGAGACCTTGAAACTTGAGTTAAAATGAGACGCCACACCTGTCATTCCCCCCAAGATTTGAGGGCTGAAATCCTGTTGCACACAGTTACCCAGCTGCATCTGTTCCATGAGCATGGAAATGCAGCTTGCCAGAAAGCAATACATAAAGCTCAGACGTCGCCTTCCAGACACAAACAGTGGGATTTAATCGATCAAGCAATGGAGGGATTAATGCTCAGCCTAGGAAATATCAAAAATTATTCTTTCAAATGAAACTGCAAGCCTGAGCAAGGTCCCAGAGGGAGAAAGAACACAGCTTGTTACAAGCCATACAGGACCTGTGAACGTGTTCAAGCCAGAGGGTTTCCTCAAAAGGGAAAAAAAAGTCTCTGAATTAAAGCTCATTACACAAACTGCTTCAGAAATCTCTCCCGTCGTGTCCATGGGCTGTAGCTCAGCTCTTAGTTTTTCATGGTCTTTTCAAAATCTGATCACTTTCTACAACTTTTGTTTCAAAATACTCATAGTTCTTTAATCTTATAACAAATTCAAAGTTTAACTTGGAAATAAAGATTAATTTTCCCACAGATCTCTGGGGTCTTTTCCAAAAAAGAATACTGTTTTGGGGTGGAGTCTTATTTTTGAACATTTTGGTGTTTTATGCTTATGAATGACTAGAAAATCCCTTTGAGACTCAACATGATGTGTTGGATTGTCTTGTTTCCTTGCTTTGAGAATTTAGGGTAGCTGCTACTGGATATACAGTTACGATTGCCATTGTTGTTTATTTCATCATTTTAACCTAAAAAATAAACTTGGCTTGACAGCATCTATTGTTATCTATTCATGAATTGTAACATGTTTATTGATACAATAGTAAGTCAAAATAGTGTATTTGTCACTCACTGAATGACAGTGATGGAAACATAAGTGCATAGCATAGCTTTATTCAAACCTATTTTGTTTTTGTCAGTATCATTCATAAAACATTATAATATATTTCTAGACAATTTCAATTTTACCATGTCTAAGCAAACTACTTAATTATATTCTCTTCTTTTAGAAGAAATGATTGCCACTTTCACAGTACACAACAATCCCAAATTTGAAACCAGATGGAAACTTTGTTTTGAGGCAGTATAATAATTAGAAGAGTGTGTGCCCTGGAGTTAGATGAGCGATCAGCTCCCAGTCCCATCACTGTCTAGCTGACTCATAATGGTCAAGTAATTTAAGGCTCTGAGCCTAATAGTACAGACAGTCCCCCATTTGCGAAGGTTCAAATTGCAATTTTTCAGCTTTACAATGGTGGGAAAGTGATATGCATTCAGTAGAAACTGTAATTTGAGTATTCATACAACCTTTCTGTTTTTCATTTTCAGTATAATTTTCAATAAATTACATGAGATAGTCAACACTTTATTACAAAATAGGCTCTGTGTTAGATGATTTTGCCCAACTGTAGGCTAATGTAAGTGTTCTGAGCACGTGTACGGTAGGCTGGGCTAAACTATGATGTTTGGTAGGTTAGGTGTGGTAAGTACATTTTCAACTTAAAATATTTTCAATTTATGATGGGTTTATCTGGATCTAACCCTATTGTAAGTTGAGGAGCAGCTGTACATTCCACAAAGAAGCATAGAGAGATGTAAGTAAAAATAACCTACATGAAATCCTCAGCCTAGTGCCCTGCATAGAGGTAAGGGTCTAGTGAATGTTAACTACCAATGTTAGCATCATTCATTAATCTGGGTTCACTGGAAGATGATTGGCAGCAGACAGTGTGATGGGCAGATGCTTAGACCCAATTTAATTGATGAATAATTTGTGTAAGCTAATTACATGAAACGTTTCGTGAAAAATCTCAGGCTGCTGCACCTGCCTTCTGGCTGTATGGTGGGCCTGCAACCATGATCACTCATTCAAACTCTTTACTAACTTTTACAAATACAGTTAGACTAACATTTACTAAAACATCAATTAAATTAAGCCCTATTAAAGACAGGAAATCCGATAAAAGAACGGACAAAGGTTTTGAACATGGGCTTCACACACACACACACACACACACACACACACACACAATCCACACAGCCAATAAATATATGAGGAGGCACACAACTTCATTTGTTACCAGTGAAATGCAAATTAAAGCGATAATGAGATCTTACTACACAGCCATCAAACTAGAAAATATTAAGAAATCTGACAAAACAAAGTGTTTCAAACTGAGCAATAAGAACCTCTGTCAACTGCTAGAAGAAGTATAAATTAATAATTACATTGGAAAAAAAATTTTTTTTTTTTTTTTTTTTGAGATGGAGTTTCACTCTTGTTGCCCAGGCTGGATTGCAATGGCGCTATCTTGGCTCACTGCAACCTCCACCTCCCGGGTTCAAGCAATTCTCCTGCTTCAGCCTCCAGAGTAGCTGGGATTACAGGTGCCCACCACCACGCCCAGCTAATTTTTTGTATTTTTAGTAGAGACAGGGTTTCACCACGTTGGCCAGGCTGGTCTTGAACTCCTGACCTCAGGTGATCCACTGGCCTCGGCCTCCCAAAGTGCTGGGATTACAGGCATAAGTCACCATGCCCAGCCCAGAAAATACTTTCATAGTGTCTAGAAAAGAAGAAGCTATGCATACCCTATAACTCAGAAATTTCACTTGCAGGTAATTACCCTAAAAAAAACCCATGCACGTATGCACTCAATTACATCAAACATAATGTTCCTATCAGCATTGCTCTTAATACCCCCCAAACTGGAGATGTTTCAAATATCCATCATCAGTAGAATGGATTTAAAAAAAAAATGTGGTGGCCCAGTGCGGTGGCTCTTACCTGTTATCCAAGCACTTTGGGAGGCCCAAGCAGATGGATTGCTTAAGCTCAGGAGTTCAAGACCAGCCTGGGCAACATAGTGAAACCCCATCTCTACAAATAAATTAGCTCTGCGTGGTGGCAAGTGCACCCGTGGTCCCAGATACTCGGGAGGCTGAGGTGGGAGGATCGTTTGAGCCTGGGAGGCAGAGGTTGCAGGGAGCTGAGGTCACTCCACTGCACTCCAGCCTGGGTGACAGAGTGAAACCCTGTCTCAAAAAAAAAGAAAAAAAAAATGTGGTGTCTTATAAAAATTTGAAGTGCCTTATATAAGTAGAAGTCAACACAAATATAGATTGTTTCTCTCTTTATAACACAAAACATAGCCTATTATGCACACTGTTATGCACCTTGTTTTTTTAAACTCAGTATGTCCTAGAGATATTTCCATATTGTTCATAAAGAGCTTCTCTTTTTTTTTTTTTTTTTTTTTGAGACAGAGTCTCTCTGTGTCACCCAGGCTGGAGTGCAGTCCCATGATCTCAGCCCTCTGCAAGCTCCGCCTCCCGGGTTCACGCCATTCTCCTGCCTCAGCCTCCCGAGTAGCTAGGATTACAGGCGCCCACCACCATGCCTGCCTAATTTTTTTGTATTTTTAGTAGAGACAGGATTTCACCATGTTAGGCAGGATGGTCTCCATCTCCTGACCTCGTGATTGTCCCTCCTTGGCCTCCCAAAGTGCTGGGATTACAGGTGTGAGCCACCGCGCCCGGCCCCTTCTCTA